GATGATAATGATCCACTTGCTGCTAGTGCTCGAGCTCTCTGCTCGAGAAATTCGAATAGGGATTTTAGTGAGGGAATGGAGCTGTCCTTGAGCGACTGCTCCCACAATTCTTTGGATGTTGAATCCATCTTCGTAACTAGGATGAAAAGGAGATGCGCGTCCCACTGATCTGTAGGAAGCTTGAGGACATCCAGTGATCGGATGCACTCACGAGAGACATCAACTAGGCTACGGATTGATGTTGATGACTGCGGCTTCACAAGAGCTTGGTTGTGGAATCTACGGAGAATGGCGAAAAGTAGTTCGCGATCGTTCTGATACCTATCAGACAACTGGGACCACGCAATATCATAGTTAGTGTCCGATATTATCATACTAGAGATTTGCCTGTATGCTTCATTCTTGAGTAGAGATTTTAGATAGGTAAGCTTCTGTGACTTACTAAGAGACAAGTTGTCATGCACGGCAGTGACAAACATGTCCCGAAAAGTGACCCAATCTTGCAGATTGCCGTCGAAAGAGGGAAGTTCGAGACGAGGGAGTCTGATATCCGTCGTGGTTGGAGTGGTTGAACTGGTTGCAGCACTTGAACTGGAGGCGGAAGATGAGACTGGGAACTTCATCTTGATTCCAGTAAATGCTGATAATAACTTGGTGGACTTGGTCATTAGTCGCTGAAATTCTTGTTGGTGTGGTGTCATGTCTGGAGGTGATGCAAGCTGTATCTTACGGTGAATCTCCATTACGTCGGTCTGGCAGGCTTTCACCATCGACAGAAGATGACTGGTGTGTGCTTCATCTAATGGGGTTGTCGCGTGAGAGGTCAATTCTGTTTCCAGATAATCAATGAGGTCGCTAGTGGTGGAGCGTTCACTGGTTGCTTTATCCAGCACTGTGGGTGCCATGATTGTTGTTGCTACTGGGGTTCAACCCGACGCCCGATGGCCGATTCTGAACCTCCTATCCAGTAACCCACAACAATGGACTTAACGAAAGACAGCGCTTACCAAATTTACACACTTGCGAATGGACGGTTTATATCCGGTTGAAGCGAGACCAAAATGTTGAGAATGCAAAGTTCCCTGATTGTGTGATTGGTAATGATGCTGTGTGATGTAAATCTCTCGTTCTTGAAATGAGGCACGTTGAGACAAAGCAGTTATATGTCACTTAAATTATTTATTTGGGGCAGTTTGCGACTTAAGAGCTTGAGTGACAAAGTAACTGGTAGACCATGGACAACAGAGTGACATCGAGATAAGAATTGTAACCAATATTTATAAGCTTCGTGTGAATGGCCGGACAAGGTTATGATTAACATGGAGACTTGTAAGTAAATTACATTTATGCTGGAAGAGCAGAACAAAATGATAAGCCGCAAACTCTTAACTAGTCATTTACCTTTAATATTAATTAGTCAAATTAATAAATAATGCATGTGCGTCAGAGGGTAGGATAGGGAAATTGAATTATACAACCTTTTCATACATAATCTTAAAAATACAAATGCAGGAGTCAAATACTTAAAACTTCCTCAACACTCATATTCCCTTCTTATTCCACAAGGGATTGTGAATGTTAAGTCCATAAACAACTTCGAAATACTCGGCCTTCGTTGCAACTGCATGCTATATATATGCATCCTCAGCAAAGAGTTATTCAAATGTGAAAGAAGAGTTGTGTTCTTCAGGAGGGCACATTTATACACTTGTAGATACATAGATATACATATGCAGTTGTAGGTAATTACATTAATCTGCTGGAGGCCACAATGAAGATTAATTAATCGGTTCGTGGGTAGAGAGTTGAGTTGTAGTAGTAACGCATGGTAAAACATATTATTATGAATATTATTATGCAGCAGGGAGGGAGGAGAACTGTGTGTGCACGTGATACAGCTCTGGAGAGATGCGTTTATGTATATCCTTCAAGAAATTGAGAAATCTGGATTCTTCATTAACTCGAGAAAAGTTAAGGCTTGATGGCTGCAACTTCCTTCCAACCAACCAACCACCTGCATTTACACTTTGTACATATCATCTTTACACTCCAGCAGCAAAAGTAGCTCAATCACTGAACCCAAAACTATTGTTATGCTTTTTGTGTACAATCTAAATTGCCAAGAGGAAAGGGCTAAAAGAGGATGAGATGAGTGAGGTGGCCCTCCGTTGCTGTCTCAAACCCGGTTCCAAATGGAAACAAAGTTTATTGCTCACACTCATCTAATGAATATTCCTAAACAACAAATCTCATATTTCATCCGTAGACAGCAAGAAAAAAGTGAGACACAGGTGTATCGAATCAAACATCTTTCGACACTGCTCGTTTCTTCTCCTGCTGCGGTCAGATCCAGATAGCCAATTACTAAAGCCAACGGAATTTTAGATTTCTGGTTTATGTTTTATTTAATACGAGTAAAAGAGCCGTCGTAAATTAAACTATGATTGAAATCAATCCTTATTTTTTATTTATGGTTAATGTACTTAAATATATGTATTCTTGTTGATATTCATGTATGAGAGGGAATGAAACCTACACAGGGGAATTTAGCCCGAGTCAGGGTTATACTACTTCTAACTCTAAAAAAATCAGTAAAATAAACCGAAGCAAATTAGTAAAGGTAATAACTTTTTTCTAAATAAGTTGAGGGACATGATTGATGATGTGTAAATAAGGAAAATGACTCAGACGACAAAAATCGTATAACATTCGAATATCAAAAGTTGAAAGTGTTTTAGAACAAGGAACGACTTGTGTTGGACAAAGTCCGAGGATTAATGATTAGTTGAATTAAGCGACAAAGGAATATTTTACTCAGTTGTCGTCTGTGACATGAGATGATAGGAGGCATTCAGCTAATTGAAGCCCTTTTACTGTACAGAATACTCTTTTTTTATTTCTTCAGCCAAATGGAAAGTTATATAATGGAGATAAACTATTAAATAAAAGCTGCGTATATTTATATACTATCAGCGCATAATATCCCCAATAATAAATACAATACGACGGATATTGAATCATTATGATTTGATTACAAATCAGAATATTACGAACCACTAAAAATTCAATCTCTAAGGGATCTCAACTTTGCGGTACCTCAGGTAATCGACTGGATACAAAGTGAAGAGGGCAAAGTTGACCGATCCTGGATTTTAAAAGAGGCCGAAGGAGCCACAACTCTGTTTTTAGTTTTTAAATGTGTGATGGGCATCCCTCAATAGCAAATGATCGTTGTAAAGAAGATAGCCCTGAAATGGACGCCGACCGTCTCATCGACTGAGTGACTTGATTTCTATTATGTAATCTTTGATTAAGAACATTTTCTTGTAGTGCCAGTTGAGTGAGTGTGTTATAAAAAGTACGACCGAGTTAAGGATGAGTTTTTGTTCAAGTCTGCATGGGTGGCCTTTAAATGCCTCAATAATAAATATCTGATTGTTATATTACACCAGGCATTCCTTGTAAAATGCATCTGGCTGTCTATTAGCTACCCAAATTTTCTGGGATTAAAAACAGGAAAATAAAACAATTTAAAGATTCACAAGCACATGAAAATAATTTTATACCCTGTCAACAAAGGTATAAACAATGAAACGATTAACTATTGGGATTTCATCAATTTTTACCTAAAAAGTCATATTTTGTATTAACCTATGCGTCAACATTGAGTAATATAGAATTATGAAGACAAACGGCTACTGCAAAATCATATTCTTTGAATAAAGCTTTGAGTGGACATTGACTTATTATTTAATAACTTTGAATTTTACGCTTAGGAGAGTGTGGATTCCCATTTCGAGCAAGAGAATGGGGAACAACCTTCTATTCTGTTGATTAACGATGGAAATAAAACACAGGAAGCATCCTTTCAAACCATGGCTTTATTTGGTTAAGTTAATCTTACGTCATGAAAGCGTTAAACCGCAGAAATGGTATACTTGCACATCAATTGGCCTCTCAATCATTGCAAACATCACGATGCAGGATTGGCTCTATTGTAAACTTTGGTTACCTTATTTTGGTAATGACCTAACGATGCAACTAGTTGCACAATTTATTTAGTTCATAAATAGCACAATGTTTCATTAAAGTCTTGGTAATAAATCCCAATTGGATATGCTTGTAGTGAAATGGAATTTATTCTGGACAGAGTGATCCTGCAGTATATTTACAAGTGTTTGAGTAATAAAAGGCTACAAAATGTCTTGAGAATCTTCCCATGACTAATAAATAAAAAGTTGTCTTTTGACAAAATGATTTTGTTAAGCGTGGCATCTCATCGCTGCTCAATCCTCGGCTGTAATAATGTCTCCCTTAAATATTTTATGATTTTGTTCCTATTATTTAAGACGACTAAACAAAACAATGAGATGATGATAAGACAGTAACCAGACAAGACTTGTTCCCACAGTGGAAGGAATTTCGTTCCCACAAAGGTTACAATTTCGGTTGAGTTCTCAAAACCAAAACCCACATTATGGAATGATTGTTGGTTGTGTATGTATGCACGTCCTTCTGAATTTTGTAGTGCAGTGCATAAACCTTTGATTTTACCACTGCCTCTTTTTCTAGGAACACTGGTGTGCGAAAATTTTTACTGTCAAGGCACGACGTATTTACCTATGCGTATGGTAATGAAATGCTATTGCCAGTTAAGTATACTGTCTAAATTTGCTAGAAATGGGCACAGGATGAACAATTTGCAGTTTCCGGTTCGTAAGTATTTTCAGAAATTGGAAAGTCTCTCACGGTTTAGAAAATACACTTAGCAAACCAGAGGGTGAACTAATTCTCATGTTTTAAAAACCCGAGGGTCTCGGGGTGGATTCCTCACAACAAGAAGATACATAAAACAATGGGCCCGGATGATAAGTTAGCAACAGCATCCCAGATGAAATTAGATATAAACTCTGATGTAAAGCAGAAGTTATCATTGCTTAATAAACAGTAATGAGAACGCAGACCTAATGAATTAATAATGTGTAAAGGAGCTCGCTCACCTTAGCCATTCGGCCGGGGCAGGGAGAATTGGTGCCACTCAAACATGACACGGGTACTAACTCCGCCTGCAATAAGGGAAGGAAAAACGATTATTAATTAGATGAAATGTTACTCATTTGATCCACGAACAGCAATTAATTTAGTAATTAATTATTAATAATTGTTACTTGATTCACGTACCGAAGTCCCAGTTTTGAGTCTCAAAATCAAACGCCAATGTTCATGCCCTAAAGAACCAGAAGATCACATATTACATAACTTGTTACGAAAAGTTTACAATTTGTCCCTTGCATTATCGTCGGTTGAATATAAATAACATTGTGTGCCATTGGAGCTCAGCATCACTTGGATATCAGACCCCTTTAAACGGTCGATGCAAAGGACAATGGTTATCTTATGGTTACTATATATTGACGGGAGTAACTTGTTTGTACAATACCTGCAACGGTTTCCGCTTTGACGGATAGAAGAATCGGGCCGAGTTTTTCGTCGCTGGCACAAAAATTGTAGTGTTCCTGCAAGTAAAATAAGAACATGTAATTCTTGATAATGCACATAAACTACGTCAATTCTTATCCAAAATCTCATTTGCTCAATATCATCATCATCACTACCAAAAGAGTAAAACGGCGAGTCATCGCCATTTATATGTACACACATATTTCTGCATGTTCGACATGAACTACCACGAGAATCCATTAACGCCAACTTGGTCAGGAGATTATTATAATCGTTTAAAATTCTTAACCCACTCCGATTGTATCACAAAATCTCAATGCAATTTAACCGACAAACCAAATGAGTGACGGTACATATTCTATGCTTATTTTAAATAACACACTTGACACTGCTTTTCATAGTAGAGTAGAATCTGTCTATGCAATTGCAAATCACTGTCCTCTCATAACAGCGCATTTAAACTCATGTATAACGTATGATGAGGTGACCGAGAGTCAGCTAGAGACGGGCAAAGTGGAGTTGATTAATTAAAGGTTTACAACTTACAAGTGCTCAGCACAAGCCAACCTGATTTGACTATTTAATTTTTCGCATGAATGCTTTTGTACTACTACGGGTAGCGTACTGAATATGATACCTCGGAAAAAAAACGTTGTAACTAAATGGTGAGTTTAATGTTGTTGTATGACCTAGTTCCATAACCCAATGTCCATTACTGGATCGGTCGTTTTTTGAAAATTACATTTCGTGCAACCACTCATCTATGTATCTACCTTGATTATTGCTGTTATTTTTTCAGGATTACTTTAACTTTTCGATATGCAAAAAATTATGTAGGATGAGACAACACAGCATTATGGATGTGGTGCAGAGTTAAATGCAAAAACCGCTAATCTTTAATGGCCCACTAATCACCCACCATTACTCATCATCATTCTAATAATGATTAACCATGCCTAAAGGCTTGTTCGTGAAGTGCTTAACCTAAAACTCGCCAGTAATGGTCATGACTAAGGAATATTATTTGTCTTAGCGAATTCTCCCAAAAAATTTCTGAGATTTGCTCAAAGTTTTTACTTCCAACTAAAAAAGCTCTGACTTTTTCAATTAAAGTTTCACACTGTGTCAATTACCCCATGCGGAATGACTCATATATGTGGGAAATAGTGTTTCACGAATTTTCTTAAAATCAATACACTTCATGCACAAACCTCGGTAGTATATTTAGTATAGTGAATAGTGATTCACTTCCGAAACGACCAACCGCAACAAAGAATGCGAAGCGGAGGGGAGATTGTATCAAGTCGAATTTCACCTGGTAGAGAGAATATTATGACTCATGCGAGCGAGGGGATTCGTATTTCGTAATCATCACAAATCCAGTGTCACAAGAAGGAGCTTGCATTTTGTAAAAATAATTCTAGGTGTACCAATTGTACACGAGCAGGAGCTATACAATTTCAAATGAAACCAGAAATTCATAGATGAATCTTTCATAAAACAGATCTGTTTTATGAAAGATTTTAAAATTTGCAAAAGTGCAAAGTATTCGTTCATGTTCATATTTTTAATCCGGTGAATCAAGGGTAGGATAAATTGCTTGACATATCGTCTTCGACACCTTTCCTTTCACAAACAAATTTGGGCATATGACAAACATGGGAGCAAATTATCGGATAAAATAATTGATTCAATCACGACAAGAGATGTTGAGCTGTCTCCCTGTCGCAATTTTGTAGATGAGTAACTTATCAACGTCATAAGAAAGTGGTAAAACATAAATCAGTCGGAAAAGATACAATGAAATATTTCCTATGTACAAACCAGTCGATCAAGAATATAAACAACAAACCTTCAGCTAGAAACAACAATTCCAAAGAATAACAGACATGTACACATGTACCAAAGTGCACACTTTGGCTTTACTTTGGTTTGATGTTTCCCTTGGAACCACGAGTCATCAATATTAAAATTAATATGGGTAATAATCCATTAAAAATAAAACTTGTCTTAGGCAATAAGGTATGTTGAATTTGCAAACACATTTGTCTATGTCAATGCAAATTCAAATGTTTATTCATAGAGTTTAATTGCCATTTACTTTTAATTATCAAAACATTGAACATTCGTATAAGATTATTCGCACACTAAATTTCGAAATCAACATTCGTACTAATCAAACAAAATGCAAAGTTGGCATCATAAAATCGGCAGGATTCATCTAACTTATTTGGTATGAATAAGATTGTATTGATATTTTTAGTAATAATGACTGATGCTCTCTCACGATTCAGTGGGGTAAAGCAAACACAGAAGAAAGTGAGAGCTACTTACATTTAAATTGTATCCCAACGCTTTTATGTTCAACCGAGTAACATAATAAGCTGATTAAATTTTAACCATTCAAGTCAACGGAAAACTGACGGCAAATTGCCTTCACTTCAAATGGTCTGATTGATGATGATCCGAATGGTGTTTTACAAAAAAATGGTCACAACTCCTAACGCCAAACCATATTAACAAAACGAATCACTTGTGGTATGGTAAATCCATTTAAAGCACATCAATATAAATGATGGATGAAGTGAAAATGTGTTTTAATTTAAATGAAATGAGGAAAAATGCTCATATCTAAGCATGCACATATGTACATACACATGTTTATGAACTTGAAAGTCTAGTCCTTCTGTGGTTTGATTTACAACAGAGCAATAAAGTACTTTCTACTTCATCGGAGAATTTATCAAAATTGGACAAAGACCAAATTTTAGACTATAAGAAACACATTTTCTTCAGCGATCTTTATACATATTTTGCTAATCGAGACGAGACAAAAAAAATAGTGGAAGGTGAAGGCCTGTGGTGAATAAAAATTACTTACATGTGTGACATCGAAATGAAATATGTAACCAACGCAGACGTTTTGAACTTCTTTAAATGTACAGGGTGGTTTAAATGTCAGGTTACAATGGAAAATTTTTCAATGGGAAAAATTCGTAAATTTCCATTAGTTACGGATTTGGGATTGACATTTTTATCAAAACACTGATGACAAATTCTTAAAATATTGAATTTCAGAGGCAAAATTTCGGTAACTAATGGAGATTTGCGAATTTTTTCCATTGAAAAATTTTCCATTGTAACCTGACATTTAAACCACCCTGTATAATATTAATATGTATGCTAATTAGTGTATCATATAATTCACAATAATTACGCCGTTCTTTCTCCGTTCCTGGGAACGAGTAAAAATCATAAAATAATTTATTGTTTGCAAGTTTTTCCTCAACTATGTAGTAGTAAATATGCGCATAGTTGATAAATCTATCAAGGGGTGAAAAGCAGTTAATTATTTAAATTGACAAACTCAAATAGCAAAGAATGAGCAATTGCAATTGAGATTGGGAATTTGCGTTAATTATCGTGAATACCAGAGAAAACAAGTTTGAACTTGTTAGCTAAAACAATTTACGACCTGTACAATTTCGAAAAATTATAAACTAGGACTGGTGCAGTCGATCCATTTCATATAATGTCACAGTAACTACTGTTGAGTGGAATTCGATACACCATAAGTTAGTACAATCATATAAATAATGTCATGTTTTTACTAGACTAAAATTATAAGTTCCTTTTCGTTTGTTTTAGCTGTGAAACATATTTAATTCGGGGAGTGCATTATAAGAGAACAAGCGTGCAAACGCAGGACACACGCAACACAAAAACAGCCAAGTACTTAAAACTAACTCGACCGTGCATCATTATTGTAACAGCAGCAGACAAACAGCATTCCACAATTTTAACAAAGCTGAACTAAAATTTTTCAACGGCCGGATGTGTAGAATTTCTTTCACGATAAAAAATCTCATGGTTTCCGGTAAATAAGCAGAAGACAAAGAAGCAAATAAGGTGGAGACGATACGCCGATGTTAAACTAAACATGTAGCCAACACAGCTTATTGCCTTCACCTTATGCACTTGGAAGATTTACACAGGAAATGGGGAACAATTACAATGTGTAATTGTGATGCAAAACTCAGCAAAGCGTAACCAAACCCGATCTTCTAATTCTAAAAAATTTCTACTTGACAATAAATATAAGTGCATGATAACGTTAGTCACTCAATTCATTACGAATACAAATACAAAGAAAATCTACTACTGACAAGTTTCATATGCTAAATCCTACACATTAAAGTCAACCTTAAATTCTAAACTAAATAAAATGAAGTGGTTTGACTTGTCAGTCGTGAACATAAAGTTGGTGATCAAAAGTTAAAATGACATGTCTCAATGTTTGTTGTGACCTTTGTCGTTTGTCATCCTTTCAATTCCTGCCGCTCATGATTACACGAGTAATAAGCTTTATTACATAGAATTGTCATGAAGTTTTCGCGATTCATTTCAATTCGATAATAAAATATCTCAAAAAAGAAACGCGTGTCTACAAAAATTGCATTTTATGGGCGACATACTCTGCTCAATGGAAGTAATTAGGTATTCTACTTTTCGAAAATTGCAAATTCATCAGACGGGCGTAGTCTAATGAATTGGCTTTTGGTTCTTAAAACTCTGTTTAGTTTGCAAATTGAACGTTTCCGATAATCCAACAGAGGAAAATCGAAATCCTCCTGCGGCGCTGCATCGCACGATTCTGATTATGTTTTACATATACCAATTTATACTAACGCAAGCAAAAGTGATAAGCCAAAATATGAAGAATATTACGAATAACGATGTAATCGGCAAAGTTGAAAATTTAGTTGATTACACTTCTGAATTGCTTGAAACTTTCGATGCGCAACAACAAGATAGATACCTGCTGGGATTTATGTAAGCAAAACACATAATATTGCTCCTCTTCCATATGTATTCAGCATAAAAATTCAATTTTTTAGTGTGAATAATGACAAATCATCCTCTTGCATATGAAATTCATGTAAGAACATATCGACACAATGCTTCGTAGTCAATGCTTATTGAGAACAAAACTGAAAATCCAATGTTGAAATCCAATTTGCCAAACCTGATCACCAAGCTTAAAAAGCGATAGGAA